GTGGTTAGACTCAACTTTTCTAATGCAGCTCTCTCACAAGAATACATCGTGAGACTGCTGATCAATAATTTCGGCCATGCTGTCTCACAATACCAACCTATATGCCTTTAAAAGCAGGGTGGTTATGCTCAACTCTCTTGATGTAACACCCTTGCAGGGGGGGATTATTGCGTGCGGACACCGCATGCATCTCTGCATGCGGTGTTCGATCCTGGCCGTAGATCACGGTGATCTACGGTCAGGATTATTTCCGTTTTTAAAAAAAATTAATAAAAAATTTTAGGTGGGGCCCACCGAAATACATCAGGACCGTGCGGACGCCGATCCGCATGGAATAATTTTTCCTTGCCAGGGACGCCGGTGGGATGTAAATTTTTAAATCATGGGCAAAATTTGGATTTAAAAAAAAAAAGAATAGAAAGACAGAATTATATAAAAATAACATTTGAATAACATTTACAAGGGACACGACGACTCACCAACAAGCTTGAATGAAATAAACAATAAAAGCATTACCTCACCTATAAATGCAAATGAGGAATTCTATGGAACCATCACAGGCAGCAGAATCATGATTTTAATTATAACACATTCATGCAAAATATTTACAAAATAAAAATAAAGGAAAAACTAAAGGCGAAATAAAAAATAAAGCCAACTTCCCTCATTTTAACTTTTCTGAGGGAGGCCAGGTCATCATTTTTGAATTTTTGGAGCCCATAATTATATCAAAAATAAAAATAATATTAATATTTTTAAAATAAAATATAAATTTATATGCATACATTTTGATGTGATTGTCACAATAAAATAATAAATAAATTAATATCGAAGCTCAAGCACAGTGAAACCTAAACCCATTAATTCTTCCAAAGTTTCTCTTTTATATAAAAATGTGTGCATTATTTTCCATTCATCGCTGTTTTGCCATTCAAAATTGGTTCTCACTTGATTGATTTCCCTTCATTTGACTATATTAACGGCCTTATAACCAAAATAATATTGGAACTGGAATTTCGATAAAAAACTTCTAAAATTAATTCATCAGGTCTGGTCAAATCAAATCAAATCGATCGCAATCCAATTAAAAAAACAAAGTGAAATTGCATCAAATAGACTATGCAAAAAAAAAAAAAAAAAAAAAATTTAAAAAAGCAAAAATGGGAGAAAG